GTCCGCTTGGTTTTTGTCGTCGTCTGCGGCTTTTGTCGGTCCGGCGGCGGCAGCGGCGGCAGCGGCAGTAGCGGCGACGCGCACACGTGCTCACGCATGCTCACAGCCCCGCCCCGCCCCGGGCGACGAAGCAACACTGTTCAGCAGGATTAAGTAGCGTTTATAATAATTAACAGAAATATATAGGTATTTTAGATAGTTTAAATTACTATAGTCTATTTTTAGATGGGATTTGTTAGTAGGATTACTTAGTGAATGACGCGTGTGGATTTACTCTACGGTCAGACCACAAGTTAATATTAATATATTAAATACATATTAAGTATAAATATATATTAATTAATTACATTAATACATACTAATTAGTTAATATGGTGATTAGATATTTTAGATATCTTACATCTATATTACATCTTACGTGTTTTATATCTTTATATTTTATATCTAGATAGGAATTCTAGGTGCATTAATTGTTTAGTGAATGAGACGAATAAATTCACTCCCACCCCCACTATACGGGACATAAGTTAGTCTGAAAGCACTATAAGTGATTGAACTGAAATGACATGGGGCTATACGTATATATTTTCATTTAGATAGAAGGGTATTCTAGACATTTTATATACTTCTAATATCTTTAGATTTAGCTTTCTAAGTGAAGAAAGATTTCTTGGATTTTAGATTTTTTCTTCTTTTAGATATCTTAGTGAACATTGAAGGCGAGTGGATTCACTCCCACGCGCCACTATACTGCCGGACCACGAGTTACTCTGAAGGCACTATAAGTAATTGGACAGCACGATAACATAACGCCGTGTCGTTGACCGCGTCTTTACGCATAGACATCGAGTTTAAAACTGCAGTCATGCGGATTGACAGTCGTTATCAGAGCATTACTCAATAAACATGCATGTCCGTCGGCATTCGAACGAGTCTCGATTCGAATGCGTTTTCGTGCGCGATCCGGGTCCGCCGAATTTACGCCCGGCTGAATTCGTCGAATTCCGGATCGCGAAAGAAAACGCATTTCGAATCGAGACGGAGTTATTTGCGTCAGAGCGCTTCGAACGACCGACGGAACGGAATCCGAACTGCCGTCGCCGAACCGTTTCTCGGAAATTACGCAAATCGCCGTCGCGCTGCTCTACTTGCATGTGCGAGTGAAGCCTCGACCTTCCAAGTGAAGCCCTATTAGTGATGAGCCATGGGCGCTTCTGTGTTGCTGCGTGTACGTGGCCCGTACTCATCCGTTATTCATGGGTTGTTACCATCTTGTTGTTAGATAGCGGCACGCACTGATGGAAAGGATGTTCGTTCTCTCTCTCTCCCTCTCTCTCTCTCTCTCTCTCTCTCTCTCTCTCTCT